AATGACATTTCAAAATACTTCATTTTTGCATAAGTTTCGAAGGAAAACGATCTTCCGTACGTCGTTGGTAAACAAAAATTAGTATTATAATGGCATTCAGAGAATACAGACGTAAAGTAGAGGAATTTGAGAGACGTGTCCAACAAATAAGTAAAGATATTCAATTATATGAGGAAAAGAAAATGGTTCTCAAGCAGTTGAATAATTAACACATTCAAGACAAAGTGTTCCAGCCTCAGAGTGTAGAATATGTCGTCAACGATGCTGAAAAACAAATTTTGTACTTCCGACTACAATAATTTCTGTTCAATATGTGAACGTACCGAATATGGGTGAAATTCCAAGGAAATATGCGATAAGGCTAGTATAAACAATGGAAATCGATTCATTCGACTAGCTGTTTATCAATAAAAATGTTCTCCACTCGTTTTCAGTTTCGGATATGCTCTAATTTCTCTCAGCATAATCTAAATCTAAAATGGTTTTGATCATTCTCACCTCCATTGCAAGCCGTTCCGATTTGACTACTCTCACCTCCATTGTAAGCCGTTCTGATTTGACCACTCTCACCTCCATCGCAAGCCGTTCAGATTTGACCAGACTCACCTCCTTTGCACGCTTTTCAGATTTGACCACTCTCACCTCCTTTGCAAGCTGTTCAGATTTGGCCACTCTCACCTCCTTTGTAAGAATAATGTTGATCGAGTTCAATATATAGTTTTACACCGCCCAATCCTATTGATGTCCATTTCCACATCACCCATGAGGTAGAACTATTGATGCGTTACCTTTTTTTAATGTGGAAGTCTCCCCAGTAGGCCTATCATAACCACAATCTTTGCTTCAGATTTACATCATGGAAATAAAACCGTGAATGTTGAAAGATATCTTTATTATAGAAAAATATATTTACAAAGTTGTATCCATCATATCTTCGCCGATTAAATAATGTCCCCATGGTAGAGTTTCAACTGAGTTTGGTATGAGGTAGCGCTTATCATCCATTGAACTCAAAGCATTTTTCTGCTGTTCTATCGTGAACACCTGATGTTTATCTGCTTTAATGAGATGCTGCTTCACACATTTCACCATAGAGTTCTCTAGGCAGTCAATGTAGTCTTGGAAGGTGATATCGGTATTCATGGTAGATTTCTTGACTCCCTTTGCCTTTTTAGTCATGCCGTAGTTAGAGATTATATTACGAATTTCGTCCTCTTCATATTCATCAAGTTCTAACTTCCGCTGCAGTTTTATTATGTTAGCTTCAGTTGTTAACCTTTTAGTCGAATACAACTTGGCTCGTAAACCTACAAAGTCCGTCATCGGAATACCATTGTTCTCATCCTTCATAAGGCCGGGAACTTTTTTGTTGACGCAGGGTATTCCATATATATTGTCAGAGGGATAATCTGAGGTATCGAAAAATGTAAAGCAATCCTCCTTCATAACTGTATAGGGGTCCTGACGCAGCTCATAGATGAGGGAATCCGTATCAGTATACATAACGGTGCAGTCCTCTCCGAAACGCTCAGCCATATACCCATAGTGGAAAGAATAGATGGTAGTCTTTGCTAAATCCAAAATAGCCTGTCCTACATATATAGGCTTGTTAAGAAAAATTTGCAGCTTATTAAGCTCAACCGCTACCAAGTTTTCATCGAAAACTGCAGCAGACTTGAACTCGGGTTTGGCAATATGCGCTTCTGCTCCATACCTTCCACACCACTCGGTTAGAAGGTGGATGTTAACCCTCTTGCGGACGTTTTCCATAGTTTTACCGAATACTGCATTATTCATCAATTTGTACAGGTTTTTTTCGAACTCATTGGTAGCCTTCTTACGGAGCTCTGTATTCAAGTCGATGTATGATTTGAGCCAAGGACTCTGCTTGAATTTCAACACACGAAGAATTTTTTTCAAAACCAATCCATTTGCTAATGCCTGCTTCAATGCTCTATAATGTATAACATATTTCTCCTTGGGTTTCAAAGTAGCCATCAGCTTCGAAATTTCTCTAGGTTTCGTCGGTGGCATCATGGTTTTCGGATTGATATGCTCCGGACAAAATGGAATATCTCGATGTTTGTCATGCAAGTGTTGAGGATACTCCAAATCTACTTCTAGAATGTAACCCTCATCGGCATTATCAGGTATGTCCATTACATCGATATTAGTGTCGGTCCATTCAAAACCTCCATATGGCAAGTATTGACTCATTGCCCATCCATACTGATTATTCACATCATAGTACATCTGATAAGTTGAGGGTTTAGACGAATCGTAGTTTGGAAGGTATTTGTTGTTTGCGTGAGCTCTTCTCTTCGAACAAACTTGACTAAGACCACCTCGAATACCTCTCTCAACAAAAAGAAACATGTCTTGATCGGTGAGTAACTCTAGTTGTTGCTTGGTATATTTAAGCATACAATCCCAAGTGTAGCCTGGCAATGTGTAATAGTGCGCAGGGTCAAGTCCATGCGACTCGAGGATACAGGTTCTAAACCTCTCAAAGACATCAGCCAGCAGAAGAACATCGGTTTTCATGTATATGTCGACATATTCTCCTAAGTTTGAGATATTCAGTTTGTTCCATACCTCTTGTGCTCTTATGTACCGTCTTCGGGGGCAGGGTTTGTTATCGAGTTTATTGAAGAAATGATCAATGGACGGTAAATTGGTTTCTTCGAATTTTTCGAAGGAATCAAAGTAATCGTATGACATAACTCCTTTGACGGTGAGAAGATTGAATTGTTCAGGGGTGAGATCAGAGAATTGGGATTCCAAATTTGGGAATTCTGGAAGATTTGATGCTAGTTTATCGAGCGAAGAACCCATAAGCCGGAAACTATCGATGAAACGGAAATTGATTCTGAAATCGGCTATCTGTTTCGTAAATGAGATATATTTTTCTTTGGTTATAGGTAATAGATCGACCTTTCCATCCATTCTTGTTGCGATATCTTTAACAATGAAGTGTGCATCATAACCGCTAAGATTATGGAAGACAACAGGGATGGTGTGTGAGTCCGTGAAGTTGACGTTGCACCCTTCATGCGCGGGGCCACGATAATTATCACATGGTATCAGGTGATTATGGTCTCGAACTTTCTTATCTTCAGGCGTGAACGGTTTTTGACATATATGACAATTTGAGGCTTTTCTAAACTCCATTTCCTGATCGAATGTCATATTTATGTCATAAGGACACCAAAACACTGTCGCCACATCCTCAGCAAGCTGATTCATCTCATCAGCAAACCATTGCATACAATCGATACCTCGATGAGCACGGTAAAATGATAGAGAGTCATCATAGCTACACTTGAGGTAATATCCCACAGCTGCTGGAACGTGATGCTGCGGCTTCTTTGGGTTATCTGTACGCTCGAGTATGCTTTCCAAGTCTGCATAAACAATGAATGGTGCCATTTCCTTATTCTTATAGTTTTTGAATTCGAGCAGATTTTTACCTTCCTCAGGCATTTTTATAGCTGTCTCATTGATTTTCCCGCAATCTAAGATGTGACGTTCGAGAATTTTTTGAGTTCTGCAGTACCGGAGACAGCGATCACAGAAGAACTTTTGACATTTTTCTCTACTCAATTGTCGTGAAAGCAGTCTTGACAAGTTTTTGATCCATACAAAATGGTGTTTAGCAGGATCATCATCATCTTGTATGAGAAGTAGATTGATGTGTTTTTCCTTCTTATCTTTAGTTAGATATGATGGTAATATCTCTAAAGATTTCTTGATCTTTTCCAACACATAAACATTAATGGAGACATTATTTTGCTTTTCAAATCTCGGAATTTGCCGCATGGTCATTGGGAATTGAATACCTGTAAGCTTCAAAACCTTCGAGTAATGAGGATATGATGATATGCGTGATGTATTGATTCCAGCTGGATGAAGCGCTGAGGTAACGGCCCACGCAAAACATGCCTGATCATTATTC